GATCTAAAAATGAGGAGAAAATTCAAATATACCTCCAAAAGGTATGACTGAAAACATGCTCTATAGTATTGTTAGCCCTTGGTTAGAATATTAATCAGGTTGTAGTAAATGCGTAGGGAGTTGCCATAGTGGAGCCAGTTCAGTACTCTGCTGCGTAGAGAACTAATTCAGCATCTCGCAGTAAGATACAGCTTGATCTTGCCAATGGAGACCAAAATGTGCCTTCATTAGTATATTTTGCTTGTTATGTAGTATGTTTTGTGGGAATTTCTTTCCAAACCTTTCACAAATCAGTTTGTGCTCATATGTTAAAATATCATCATCAATATCTTTTCATGCTTAGCTTTAAATAATGGCAGTGTTTCCCAACTTGTTTAAAAATAGTTGTCCAGTTGAAGCAATACTAATTTAAACCCAAATACAGACCTTGCATAGTAGTATCAGTCATTGAATTAGCTACTGCTTTTAAAAATCTTGCTGGAGTATTTGATTCTTTGGCTAGCAATTCCGTGAACTGGTCATATAGATAGTCAAGAAGTATTTCCTTCTGGTTGTTTTAAATTACTTGCTGGTGACTTTATTCTAATCCTCCCATTCTTTTAACATCATTGCTCTGCTTTTTCTAGTGGTTTTCAGACTAAATTGTCTGTAGTGTATTCAGATTCAGATACTAGCAGTGCTATTCCAAAACCTTCTCCTGGGCTACCTGTCCCAGCTGTCCTCTCCTGTCACATGCAAGCCATGTCCCCAAGCCTAGGATGCCATCCCTGTGCCATGATCATACTGGGCACTCCTGATCACCCAGCCCAAGGCACCAGCTCCCTGCCTCTTTTCTTCTTGCATCCCCAGCAGCGAAGCTGAAGCCACCTGTGCACACCTACTCATGTATGACATGGTCTCCTGTCCCAGGCACACGCGTGCTGCCACATCTCCATCTCCTTCCCGACACAGGGTTTGGCAAAGCTTCTGCTAAAGCTGGTAAAGAGGCACAGGGGGGTGCTGGGGTTGCAGTGCCTAGAAAGCAGCACTTGGCATGGGCAGCAATAGCTGTTCCAAAGTAGTTTTCATGAGAGACAAGTTGTTTGCTTGATAACTAATGAGTTTGCTTTAAAAGCATATTTTGGCTTGTTCTAAGAGTTATTTGCAAATGTGTTTTAGAATCATAGGATGTGTTGAGTTGGAAGGGACCTTAAGAGTTTATCTAGTCCAATCTCCCTGCAGTGAGCAGGGACATCTTTAACTAGATCAGGTGGCTCAGAGCCCCATCAAGCCTGACCTTAAATGTTTCCAGGGATGGGGCCTCCACCACCTCTCTGGGCAACCTGTGCCAGTTTTTCATCACCCTCACTGTAAAGAACTTCTTTCTAATGTATAATGTAGATCTACCCTGCTCTAGTTTAAAACTGTTTGTCGTATTGCTACCTGCCCTTCTAAGCAGTCCCTCCCCAGCTTTCTTGTAGGCCCCCTTCAGGTACTGGAAGGCTACTATAAGGTTTCCCCAGAGTATTCTCCAGGCTGAACATCCCTAACTCCCTCAGGTTGTATTTTTAGGAGAGGTTCTCCAGCCTTCTGATCATTTTTGTAGCCCCCATCTGGACCCACTCCAAGAGGTCCGTGTCCTTCTTGTATTGAGGGTTCCAACAAAGATGCTAGTACTAATCCCAGACCCCTGAGGGGCACCACTGGTCACTGGTGTCCACCCAGACATCAAGCCATTGACTTCAATTCTTTGAGTGTAACCATCCAACCAATTCCTTATCCACTGAGTGGTCCCCCTGCCAAATCCATGTCTCTCAATTTTAAAGACAAGGAGGTGTGTGGGATAGTATGAAATAGCTGTTCCAAAGTAGTTTTCATGAGAGACAAGTTGTTTGCTTGATAACTAATGAGTTTGCTTTAAAAGTATGAAAAGTATGAAATGCTTTGCACAAGTCCACACAGATGACGTAAGTCACTCTTCACTTGGCGACCAATGCTATAACCCTATTGTAGAAGGCCACCAAATTTGTCCTCTTTTACGAGTTTGGTCTAATGTTGTCATGTGACTGCACCCTGCAGAAGCAGTATTTTCCCTGAGTGAGGCTCAGCTGTCCTCTGAGTGCCAGGGACTGGGCCAGTGCAATGCCAGGGGCTGTAGTTCCTACTGACATCACTGTAATTAGCAGGTTGATGCTAACGCCGTTACACCAGCTTGGGAATGGAGCAGGAAGCAGGGAAATCAATGTATAAGCTTCGACCATGCTGCTGCAGTGAGTGAGACTTGTTGAATGGAAGGCTTGGACAGAAACCAAGTGAAGTGGTGGTATGTAGGGCTGCTGCACAACCGAGGTGTTAATGATGTGCCAGCTAGGAAGAGTAAGTGGGATTTGAGGTAATGTTGCACTCTTGCGACATCTTTGTTGGGTACAGGAGAGGGGAATTAAGCTTTTGTGTTATAGTATTTCCATATGGAGCTACTGTTATGCGTGGAACTACATTAGCATTTGTGATGAGCATGGAAGGGTAAACAGTTTAGATGCTTCTGTGATTCCTTGTCACTTCCCTTTCTAAAAATAGAGTAACAAGAATATGGAGGAGAAAAAAGCAGGTGGCATTACTGAAATATGGGTTCTGTAATTCTTACATTCTGTGAAGGGCTTTTAATGATTACAGTATACCAAGGGTGAATCGGATCCTTCTTGAAGCGAGGAATTAATTACGCTGCCTACAAGTTGGAATAATGTGAGGGAGCACCACACAATCCTCCCATTGTGCTGCTGGTGCACCTGCACAACGTCTTCTGTTCTACTTCCAGACTTAGGCAATGTTTATTTGTGTCTTGCGTGGCTTGTAGTAAGATAGAAGTTGCCAGAAGGCATCAGAGTAGGCAATACCTTGTCTTTCAACACTGACAAGATACCACAGTAGCATGGTGAGTAAAGGTGAGGTAACTTGACTCTTGTAGAGATGTTTATCCTGTCTTTGCCTTCCAAAGTTCTACTTCACTGTTAATTTTATAACTTTTAAATCCCCAACCTTTATTGATCAGCAGTAAGGTTTTAGCATTTGCATTTCCCTGCTCTGAAGAGTTATGTGTCATTCTCTTTTCTATCTCCTCAAATAGCAATCCTCTCTAATTTCATTGAGTGATTGGTTATTCTCGTGTTACATGAAATAGAACACAGCAAGTCTGTCTTTTCTCTGTGCTATTTCATTATTTTGTATAATTGCATTATGTCTCCTGTAATCTCTCCTTTGTTAGGTGAATAGTCACAGTCTTTTCTGACTAATATTAAAATTTATCCAAATCTTTCATTATTCCTACTACTATTATTGTCTGAATCCCCTCTAATACTGGAGCATCCATTTTTTGAGATGCTGTTACCAGTGCAGCATGTGGCACAGCAGAGATAAGGCTGATCTGCATTAGAACAATGTCACCTCTCTACTGGTCACCATTTTATTCCTCATTTATCCTGATTTTTTTTTAACTACAGTTAAAAATTTCATTTAGAAGAGTGGCCTTCCTTGAGAAGTGTTCTGTGACCCTGAGGTGTCTTTACTGTATTGATAAAGTTTTCTTGAAGAGGTATCAGAGCAGGTGTAATTACGTTTTCCCCTTCTAATACATACTGCTTTTAACGAGCTCGTCATGATACTGTATTTTCACCTAGCTTTTTTTAGGCTTATCTTGAAATTCTTCACTGTCATTTCTGGTCTTTCCTGACCCAAATAATTTTGTGTTGTCTACAGACTTTGCCACCTCATTACTCATCTTCTTTTCCAGATCAAGAATAAATGTAGTGAACAACACAGAACTGAGTTTACCAAACCTTACCTTGTTTGCTGCTTCTTGTTTCCGTACAAAAACCAGAACACTAAAGCTCTACCAAATTGTCTTACAGACCCTGTCCAGAAGAATTTCAAATCCCTATTTGGAAGCTCCTTCAAACAAGGTACTTGTGAAGCTGCTTTTTAATTCCATTTCACCAAACAACATATTAGGAATCTTTTTGCTTTGGTTCAACCTCTTAATTGTAGCTTTGAAGACACTTGTGAATGTGGCCTGCAGTTAAATCCAGTTAACAACTTATAATCTGTGTGTGTTGGAAATCGTCTACTTCTATTACTCAGTGTGCAAACTGAATTGTTGTGAATTCCAAGGTGCACTCACTTCCCTGCCATTTAAATGATTGCCACCATTTAGCATATTTTGCAATATTTAAGAAGTCTAGTTTTGCATTTCACAAGACTTTGCTGTCTCAAGACTATTTTTTCCTCATAAGATTCCTAAATGTAGGGGATTAAAAAAAAAAAAAAGATGAAACCATGGCATTGTTTTTCTTTCAAGTTAAGTGACTTGTGTTACTGATGTGTTTTGCTGGGATGGTGAGGAAACATCTCAACAGGAGCCTGAGTTAAATTTGTCGTTAAGGAGTGATATACAGAGTCCAGGTGGAACATGGTTTCCTGGAAGATGGGGTTGGGTCCTGTTCTGATAGACACATCTGCAGCCTTGCGGTGCAAGGTAGAAATCAGGAGTGGGGGATGTCAGAGCTGTCATAGGATACCTCCAGAGTTTCTGAACAAAAAGAAAACAGTGTGAAACGGGGTTTCAGTGTCTATTAGGCTTGCATGACATTATTTAACTCAATACATATGGAATAATATTTAACTGTGGTTTTGCAGTGGTTAATACAGTCGTCTTGCTTTGCTAGAATAACTCTTGTTTTCACTTGAACTCGTCTGTTGTTCACAAGTAAAGCCGACAGATAGTAAAACCTCTGCTTTTCTAAGGCAGCAAATGTGAAGTAGTCCAGGTTGTGGGGGAATTTGCAACCCATGGAACAACTGGGTATGGCAGAAGCTGGGGAGCATTTCCTATGAGGTTTTGACTGCTTGCTTGTCACTCAGCTGCGGAGAAGGCATTGCTCAGAGGGAGGGAGCGGACAGTGGCAAGGCAATTTACAGCAGGAGTAAATCCCCGTTTGTCACAGTTTTCAATTTTTCTTCTCATTCAGATTTATGGAGAAAGTTCTTCCTGTGCTGGGAGGGCTCTCAGGAATATTTTTACTCTGCAAGCATCTGACCTGATTAAAGACAGGGTGTACCTTACTGGCATTTGCAGGTAACTCGAGATCATTCGTCTTAATCAACTGGATGTGCTTTATTTGCATTTGTCTATGCCCTGATTTGACAAGAGATTAAATTCTGAAAGTGATATTTTTGTGTGTTACAAAGAATCAAAAACATTTTCTAAAAATATTCTTTAAAACCTTGTGTATTTTAATATATTTGCCAGTTGTCAGAAAGCGACAGTGGCCTGATTGTATGGCCATTTATTTAATTGCTTGTGATTTCATATACAATTGTGCTTGTCTGTTATTTTGTTTAAAAGAAAGAATATTAAATTCAGCCCTGGTCTGGAATTATAAAAGAGATTGATTGGATTCCTAAAATTTAGTTTTACAGTGATTTTTGCATGTAATTTATGGAATATTTCTGTAATGAAGTGATTTTCTATTTGTGTTGCATTACAGCATGAACGCTTCCTCCTATTTTCAATTATGCCCAAACGCACAGCTTTCTATTATAGCACCATTCATTCATATTTTTCATTCCATATTTAAGAAAAAGCCACTTTTTTCTCTTAAGATTTAAAAAGATAAGTTTACCAGTTATGTGAAAGATGATGTACATCCCAGAGCAACACTCAAGGTTTTGCACATAAATTTTTTAACTCTATTGCTTATGCCTGTGCTCAGAAAGGAAATAAAATCCTGAGGCTAAAAGCTGGATTTTATTTACCCCTTATACATCTTTGGATGACTGCCTGTGTGCAGCACAAATTGATAAAAATATTATGTATTGTGAAGTGTGCCACATAAATTAAGTACGTAAGGGAGCTTACTCATCTAACACGAGTTCCCTCATTGAACTGAGGGCATCCCCTGAGACTTGCCAGGGTAATTTCGTTCCTTGAAATGATTAGGATTACAAAAATTAGTAATTGAGACAAAGGGTTTGCCCTTTGCTGAACAAAAAGATTCACTTTTAATAGCTTTTTCTTAAAAAAAAAGCAAGATTTTTTATTATAAAAGAGCATTTTAATATTACTGTACTGTAAGAAGTGATGTTTTACTTATTTTCAGGAGAAGCTGTGTTGGATCAGAGCTGGTAGACTGGCTTCTGGAGCAGTGCCCTTTCGTTAAGTGCAGATCTACAGCGGTTGGAGTGTGGCAGCTCCTCCTGGATATGGGCATTATATTATCAGGTCAGTCTTGATAGTACTTCTAGCGTGAGGAAGGCAATCAGTTCTCCTGCACGGAACAAGATTCACATTTTTGGTATGGGAGAGGAAGGAGGGAAAGAAAAAAAAATGCAGCTCGATCCATTTTTCTTGACAGTTGTTTATTTTGTAAACTCTTTGGTAGATTTACCTCTGTGACCTTTCATTTCATAAATACCAAAGATGAATTTCTGTGGGGGTTTTTTTAGGCTTTTTCCTTCCTTTTGCTTTTGCAAATGTAATTGCCTATTACCAAGTTGCAGACAGAGTGCGTGTCTTTTGCAGCCTATTTTATGTTCTCCTCAAGCTCTTTTAGTTTTTTTTTCACAAGACAGCAGCTGTTTAGTCACTGCAGATCATGGCTTTGCCAGATGATTTCTGTAGCTGTTTGTGACTTTCCTCCCTTTGTTTTTCATAGTTTTGGATTAAAATGGATGCAGAGGAGTTTCAGCTCCTTGAGACAGTGATGATGCCAGGTTCTGCCTGGCTGTCCACACCAAATTTAGGGATTTGGTCCAGCTAATATTGTTGGCGGTAATTATACCAGTAAATAACTTCTGGAAATCTGAAATCTTACTTTGTAGCTGGGTCTACTTTGGTAGCTCAACCCAGAGCACATCCTGGCTTTAGGTCTGTGCTAGACACTTAACTTTCCTCCTTGCAAAAAGATGAGGTGTTATGAAAAACTTCTGCTTATGTACACTGACAGTAAAAGTTTTTCTTCTGCTCAACTACACCGACAGTATGTCTGGTCATGCAGCCTCAGGAATGACTGAATGAATCTTCCAGTAGGAGTTTGTGCTTTTGGCTTTAGACCCCATCCTTTGATTCCCAGTTCAGTCCCAGTTCTGCCAGGGACAATGACAGCTGTTGTACTGGTGCGTCTTCTTACCCAGGTCTAGTCTACAAGTCCAATAACCCTGAATTTGAGAAGAAGCTGGGATGATGATGGGTTGCATCCCCTTTATTGTACTTCATTTACTGGCGCCTGGCCATTAGTGAGAACAGATTAGAAGCCAACGGAAATTGAGGCTCAGAAATTTGATAACTGCAAGGTTTTTATCCTGTAATTCTGAACTGTTTCCAAATTTGATTAAATACTCAGCAGTCTTAATGCTTGAATTTCAGCAGCCTGGAGATTTTCAAATTGAGGTTTTGGAGTTGTTCTGTTTGGATGCACTGAGTTAATATGTGGTGGCAGGTTTGCTTCTGTGCTGAGTCTGCGGTCCTTTTGCCTTGCATGGTGGTGCAGCTCAGCGTTAAAGTCAAGTGCAATACAGAATTTGGTGGGGACACGCAGCCTTTGCATGCTAAGGGTTTAAAGGCTATCTAATGTCATTATTTTCTAACAGTGGACAGACAACTCTATTTTCAAGACACTCATGCCTTCTACCAGTTCTCAGCGGATGAATGCACCTACCTTTTCTGTGAATTTGAGAAAGAGGAGGGATGGAAGAATGGAGTAAAGCTCCTACTTCAACTACTGCCCTTGTCTCCTCCCAGGATTGACATGTGTAATCTGTAAGTGTGCATATACAGCTGTTTGAAACTTTTGCTGACTGTTTTGTAAGTGGCTGGCTTCTATAATGACGCTCTTTACCCTTAAATAAGCCAGATTTCTTCTTCAGAGTTGAAAAGCTTTGCAGAGATGGGCTTTTCATCTGAAAAAGTCAGTGTGAGTAGATAAATAAAGACACTCAGCTTGGGGTTTTTCACATATTGTGGTTCTTACACACTAGCTTGCTGACTCTAGCTTGCTATATTACCCAGGTAAATAGCTTTATTATTTTTCTAATCTCTTACATTTAGCAGTTTGGTACAAGTCTGGCAGCAGGCATGCTGTGGAGCTGATTGACTGGCAGATCAGATACCCTCGTGCTGCGTCGGGATCCGCTATCAGATGGGTAGAAGTGTGGTAGCTTCAGTCATCTGATTTTAGTTTGCTACTGCAAACTAAACCTCTGTAGTCTCACATTATTATGCCTTTCTCAGAATATGCTTTTTCACTTCCTGCATTTCCCCTCTTTCACCTGACTATTGGATGTTATCCTACCCTCTGTGCTGAAATGGCTGTGCTCTGAATGTCGCCTATTTAGCAGAGCAGCTAGAAGGGAACAATAGTTATTTGTGCGACAGTGAGAGTCCAAAATATAGGAAAAAGGTGTCAGCGAGAGATCTAGAGGCTTATGACCCCTCATGTCTTAGCAAATCTGTAGGAGTGGGCCTGGATAGAGAAGTTGGGTTAAATTCTTGCATTGTCCTCAGACTTGATACTTGCACTGTGGAGAACTATTACTCTGCCAGTACTAGGATTTATTCTCTTTGATGTCAAAGGCAAAACTTTCTTCTATAAGTACTTTGCTTCTCTATGTATTAGGTTTTTTTAAAAAATAGCTCAAATAAATGACCAATTGAAAAATATTAAAGAAGCACAAAGCCCAAAGTCGCTGTAAGCTGTCTCAAGCTCAGCTTCTTAAATTCAGACATATTGAGCTGGTAGAAAAAAATCTCAGTAATTTCTCTGCATGGCTCAGGGCGGAAAGTTGATTCCTTTCCCTGTTGCTGACTGCCATCACCAACCAGAAATTGTCAGTTCTGGAATGGGGATTCCTTTGAAAACAAATTTATTTGGTTGGCTTGAGCAAATGTAGCCAAGTGACAAGGACCCCAGATTGGTTCGAGCAGAGGACTGAATGTGATCTTCTAAGTAGACAACTCATATGGGAGAAAATCTTTGGATATTTTTGCAGATAGAAATTCCTGTCTTCCAGCCTACTCTGGTGCTAAGCAGTTTGGCTGTCCATTAAATAGCAAGATGATTTCTTTTTGATTTCAATTGGAATTGGGGTTTTCCTTGTTATCACTGCAAATCAGGCCACTTTCCATGGTTTGTAACTAAGTGTACAAAGGCTTTGAATCAAAAAGACAGAACAGACAGGTCACACTGATGTTTTACATGAAGAATGCTGGGCAGGAAAATGGATTGAAGACTTTTTTGGTTGAAGTTAATATTATGTCCTGCATGCTGACCTTGGCCAGAGAGTAGTACTTTTTTACAGTCTGGTTTGCAGTTTTATCATCCTAGTTCTGCTGTCATTTCTAGTAGAGGATGATCCCTGTCACCTGAATCGAACAATTATTCATTGATGTACATTTCCAGCTCCCTCCTGCTCATATTATTCAAATTTTAGTTGAAGATGGATTCCTTTTGGGAACATTGCCACTGAAGAATTATATTCTGGTGGTTTTACCTGTCATAATGTGAGGGTGCTTTTAAAAAAAGTATATATTGAAGGCATTGAATTTAAAATAATGGTATACTCTTGAGAGAGTGTGATATCAAAGGGAAAGAAGGCTTTTCCAGCTTCAAAATTCTCCATGCTTGATGCTAATAATACACTGCTAAAACACAGTCTGAAAGGGAATAAATGTGATGAGGTGTTTGTTAAAGTTATCTGACCAGGTTAAATAAATCTGTACCGCTTTCATGAAGAAAGAGGACAATTCTAAAAACTCTTCCTTGCAGTGAGTGTTTGTCTTTTCTCAAATATATAAGCTTTGTTTGCATACCACTAGAACCATAGTCTTTTTTGTAATTTATTAATTTGGTATTCAATTTTCTGTCTTAGTTTTTTCTCACAGCTTGTACTGACGGCCTTAATTCTGTTTGTACATATGGACAGAGAAATCCTTGCCTTGTTAATTAGATTCCTTGCTTTTGATGAAATCAGAAGCTTGTGCACCAGAAGGCAATGTTGGACATCTCCTTGTGGTTCTGGGAGACAAATGAGCTCTGTCACCTCCATAGCTGGTGGGCAGCAGCCCTGTGCTTGCCTCGACTGCTGGGTGCATCAGTAGGTGTTGGTGGAGCACCATAAATCTGCTCTCCCAGAAGGAGCCTGTAGACCTGAGTAGGCAGTAGCAGCTCTGGGGACTTTCTTCAACAGCTTTTCTGTTAAATAGAAGCAGCCCAGTCTCGACTTGCTGTACAGATATTTGATGGATTTGTATTTTTGTTTCTAGTCTTACTAGAGTAAGTTCTACAATGAAAATAGCATTCTGAAGCCTGAGATGTGCTTACAGATCCTGAAGAAATGTTCCCTGTTGCCTTTTGGCCTTGGAAAATTCCCTACATTAAGTGTAACACTGGTGGAAATCTACCACGGAAAACAAGACGGGACATAGCAGATTTTGAGCAGCTCACAGTAAACTGAAGGCTAATGTTTTTATGTGTATTCCACGGGGCTAAACCTCTGCAAATGTCAAATGAGATGCGACTGATGCAGAGGCCTCTTGGGGTCATTAAACACCCTATGTCAGTCACAGCCAATTCTACTTGAATAGAAAAGAAGAGAATATTGCAATAGCCTGGGAACAAAAGATCTGTATTGAAAGCTGTTCCATGAACTTCCTTACAACCTTGAGCAGTCACTTAGGCTCTCACCCAATGCCTCCTGAATTCTTTTCCAGTGACTGCAATGGCTTTGTATTGGGTATTTAATTTCTGTGTGCTTCTATTTCCTTCTTTGTAAATGGGGGTATTTTTATAAACACCTAAGTCCCAGAACCACTGGCAGACTCACTGACTCTTTGAAGAATGCACTGGGTACCTTAGACTATGGAAATGTACCCCATCATATTTTAAAAAATCATTTGAAGATAGGTTAACAGGGGATTTTTTCTTTATCTCATATTGCATGTTGTTTTCTTTTCAGAAGCGTTACACTACATTCTGTATCCTCTGTCCTGAAATAATTTACATTTTATTAATTTCAGAACAGTAACCATTCTTAAAAGTAATTTGGCTTTAATACAAATGGCTAGGATGAGATATTCATTTAGTAACAGCCTTACGTTTCTCCTGGGAAGCTTTTGCTGAATGCAAACAGCTCTCAGTATCCAGGGGTCTTTTATTGGCATTGTAGGTGGATTGTAAAGCCAGCAGAGAGAAAAATGTAGTGACTCTACACTGGACAGCTGAGGTCCAGACCCAGGACCGTGGGTACATACATATTTCTTCCTCTGTCAGCAGGTCGGGAAGCACTGTAGATGCTTTCACGTGGTGTACGGTAGTAACTGTGCTGGACCTGACTTGCCCACGTGCAGATCTAGAGCTGTATAAGCATTAGGCTTGTTTGCCTGAGCTTTGTAGCTCCTCTTTGGTACCATCGCCAGTAGGTCTTAGCTGGCCCCTTTTGAAAAAAACGGGAGGATATCTGTCCTGATTCTGTTCCTTAGTATCCATCCTGTCCTACATTAGCCTGGGTAACCTAATACACTCTTCCTCTCTGATTCTGGAGAGCTGACTATAATTTTTAGTATTTTAATAGTTTCAGAAATATTTGGTGCTCATACACAGATGAATACTAGGAGTGTTTTTAAATGGAAGATGAAGTGATAAAGGCCCAAGACAGAAATAGCTATGCTATATGCTGTTCTGGGTTTATAGATTGCGTCTGTGACTGTGTCTATCAAGCTGCTATCTTTTGCCTCCAATTTAAAAGAATCAGGTCCTAGCCTGGTTCTGAGAGATCAGAAGAGATCAGATGTGTAGGGATCTAAAGAGGTCAGTTATTTTTATCTCATTCCAAATTATAAAGAGAAAGACTGAATAAATCAGTCTTTGTAAATGAAAACGCATTTATTTCTTTGGAGCTGTTTATAACACTTAAAATGCTAAATCACATTTTTCTTTGAATAGGAAAGGCAGTTATGAAAATAACTATGATTTCTAATCTGAATTACCATTTTGGGCTGAATATGCTTGCACCAAAACGAATGCATGTGTCATTCTGTGCTTCCTGAACTTAATTTTTTAATCAAGGAAAGACATTTTTAGACATGGGATGCAAGAACTACAATATACCAGCTGCATATTCTAGACATCTTGTCAGTTTTTTTACATCAAGGCATATCAGCAATTAAATAATTTAGTTAAAGATAGAAGGTTCTGTTAATACCTGGGATTTATGTTTATTACAGCAGCTGCAGTTTTGTGTCTCTGCTCGTTTTGATGGCCTGCCATGCTTCTTGAATACCAGGAAAAGTAAAGATCTCAAGGGCATTTTCTTTTTCGTCGTCCCATAGTAATAACCCTGTCATGTTGGTCTCTTTCTTCTGATTGTCAATAAACCTTCTGAAAAGCTCGTAGGTAATTTAGTGATGGGAACTGGGCTGTTTTAAAGAAAAACACAGTGCTATCCCATGCTGTCCACAGCAGCTTTTGTGTGGCTTTTTGCACGTGGGCTAGACATGTGACAGTTTTTGCAAGGGTTCTTCTTGTACCACCACACTTTTGCAAAGACCCATTAAGTCTTTCTGTCTTGTGAATAACTGTCAAAGCATCTCAATATAGTGTTCTCGGCCTTTGCTTTAGTTTGTTAATTTATGGCTTCTTACATGTATTATTTTAATTTTCACTTAAAAAAAAATCAAACGTCATCTGTCACATAATGATTTTCATATTGTCTGCTTTTACCTATGTGAGCTTGCATTCCATAGGTGTTCCTCCACACCTTAGC